AACAATCTGTTTCAACATGTCTCTGTAAGTCCAATGTGACCGCTACTACACTGGTGAAAAAACAATAGTGGAGTCTAAAATTCCCAGGTGGGCTAATAGACTCTGTTCTCCAGGACTGACATTGCATCAAGAGTTAGAGAAAGTGTTTCCCAAGGGGTTGCAGAATCGTCTTTTCCATAACTACAAAAGCAAAACCACCACCTTGCAGCCCAGATCCTGAATAGAGATGGAATTAGAATACATTACAATGCTTCTTATGGTGCAGACTCTGAGACTACACTATTCCCTCCTCCAAGCACCCCTCCTCACACTGCCTGTTTATTGACCTATAAGTGCCAGGGAGCAAAATTCTGGGTGAGGCACTATGAGAATAAATGCTCAATGCATGACTTCTTCCTGCCTCAGGAAACTTACAATCTTGTTTGGATGTACCAGGATATCTAAGGCACCAAATTTGCAAGGAGTAATTAATTAGATATGTGACATGTCAACATAGGGGTATTAGAGACCACAGGAATGGACAAGCAACAGGAGCTGCCATACTTATGGCTAGTATCATATGACATTATGGGATCTATCCAACAAGAATTCCTTCTCACTCTCCCTTCAGATTTGTTCATCCATTTCCTTCCCTAGGCTTTACTAACACATACATACTCTCTCTCTCTCTCTCTCTCTCTCTCTCTCTCTCTCTATATATATATATATATATATATATATATATATATATACATATATATATATAAAATTATTATATATAGAGAGAGAGTGTGTGTATATATATAGTATGTATGTATATATATATATATATATATATATATATATATACACACACATATACCTGCATATATATATATATATATATACACACACCCTACACACACACACATACAGACACATATGCATATGTCTGCATTATATACACACTATCTCTTTATATCATATATTAGCATATGATATATAGACAGTCTCTCTGTCCTTTTGGTTCTATTTCTCATGATCTGCCCTGTATATTTCTCTTCATTATTCATATGATCTGCTGCATATGATTTCTTTTCATTCCACATGCCAGGAAGCCACCCCTTCACTCATGCAAGCAGCTCTTTCCCTTCACAGGAAATTGTTCTTTAGCCACTTGGAACTACAGCAAAGTACTCAAGTGGCCTCCCCAGGAAACTATTTCCAATCTTCAAAACATTCAGACACTCTCATTTGAAAGCTTTCTCTTTCCTTCTGTGTCTGTGTCTACGCATTCTATTGATTCCAGACTATTCATCCAGTAAGCAGGGACAACATCTAATTATATTTTCCACTGAAACATTAGCATGCTATTAATGCTTAGCAAGTAAGAAAAATAATAATGTCCTTATATTTCCCAGGATTTTTTTCACATCAGGACTTCATATGCAAAGAAAAAAAAGAGAGAAAGAGAGAGAGAGAGATTTTTAAAGTATAGCATGGAAGGGTTCTATCAATTAGAAATATATTAGGCTTTTCTGTCCTCTTGTATGAAGATTCAGCCTGTTAAATAGGGCATGCAGCTATTAGGCATTAACCCATTTGCTTTTCTCTCCTACTTTGAAGTACTAGCACAGTAGTTTCATAGCTAAAGTTGCATCAAAAGCTATTCTTTTCCTCAACAACACACCTTGACCACCACCAGCTGATTGTCATTTAGAAATTCTGACTTATAATTTTATGCTCCCAGATGCTAAAGAGGCTAACAAGAGTCCAAACTCCCCTTTTCTTCAAACACTAACCACTCCATTCTATACATGCTGCTGCCTGCCCCTGCCCTAACACACTTTCCAGGTGAGCCTCTTCAATACTCCTTGGAGACCAGAGGTTTCTCATTCCAGCAATCCCTAAACTAACCCATTTATTGAAGCCTAGATAAATCATGACAGTCCCCAACAAGTCTTTCTTGACCATACTAGCTCTTCGTGATAACTCACTCTTTGGGACTTGGAATATGCAAAGATCTAAAAAGTTAGCTGCATGATGAAGCATACATCAGGAAGCCAAAAGGCCAAAAGAATTAACACTTTGTTTGTATCAAATGAAATCAGCAGCTCCACAGAAGCAGGCTGCAGAATTCTACAGATCACTTATACAGTATTCACACAGGTATTTGGTCACATCTGCATTTTTTTCCTCTTAATGAAGTTGATGGACTTATTAAGGACAGAGACTATTTCTCATATAGGTTCAGAATCCCCCACAATAACTAACACTAATATTGTTGGACATTCAGAAAATGCACAGTGGATTCTCACTAATTTTCCCCCTAGGGAAATTGAGAGTATGATCAAGTTGAACTGGAGAGTGAAGTCAAGCTGAAACAATAAATCAGTCCTAGGGCACTGAGAGTAAGTGTGACAACATTCTCAGTGAATTGAGTGGGATTTTAATGTGAATAGAGACTCACTTTATATGCAATTTCAGCATAGGATGGGTGCAGAATGAAGACAGAATCCAAATATCAGTTTTCAAATGGTCTTAGGGAGAATCTGATTGCATCTGGTAGCATAAAATTATAAGTCATTCTCTTAGAGATGAGGAAGTGACACTGAGGGAAGTGTCCCAACTGAACTAGAAGACATGGGTCAGGCATAGGTCTCTTCAGTCCTGACTGTGCTGTTTTCACAACCTAGGCCGCTTTGCAGCAAGAACACACAGGCAAGCTATTTCTTAGGGAAGGAAGAACCCCACCTCTGCTGGGAAATGGGGAAGGAAGCATCACTCAGAGTTCTTGCTACATTTAAGGGGAATCCATGTAATGTTGCTGGATGATGTATTAATTGCAGATCTGTTGTAATTTCCATAAAGAAAATAAATTCTTTATTCCTTCTATGGTACATTCAACAAATACTAACACATTCTCTAAATTATTGGATTATGTTACAAGGATACAGAATGTATCTTGAAAACTTGAAATCAAATAATTAAAATCTTAATTGAGCAAATAAGATAATTTTTTTTCTTTAAAAATGTTTGTCATTGCTTTCAGTATTCTGACATTACTATTCTAGCTCATATAACAACCAAGTACTGGAAAATACCATTAGTATATTTTTGTAACACAGCCCTTCACTCTGCAAATGCTAACTGAACACCTATAATGTGCAAGCACTATTTCATCAGGAATTACAAAAGAGTAAATGAATAAAACTTTGTTTTGGTCCTTAGGAATTAGGAATTTGTTTTGGTCCTTAGGAATTTAGGTCCTTAAGAATTTGGTCCTTAAGTGATTACTTAAGTCTAGAAAGATGATTAAAAACAAACATGAAAAGTCTAGAAAAGGACTAATAGAGGTGTATATATTTTCAGAGCAGGGATGAATTCCCCCAATTTTCAACTAGGGATTTCATATTTAATAAAACCTTATGTGTTTATAAAGCAATATCCACCAAAATTAGAAACTTCTTAATTTCAAAATAAATGGACTGATTCCCTCTTAGATAATTAAGTTCACATTTACTTCTTCCAATGCTCGCTTCCCTCTAGACCAAAGAATATAGTCCGCCCTCTGGATCTGTTGTTTCTGAATCTATTGAACAGATTCAACTAATCACAGGTCAAAAGAACTTGCGGGTGGGGGAAGCCAGGAATTTCCAAAAAGCAAAACTTGAATTTGCTACAAGATGAAACTATGTTAAATCCATACAAACAATGAGATATATAGGTATTTTATGAAGTACTGGAATCAATCTAGTGATTACTTAAAGAAGCATACAGGAGCCATTGTATACATTTTATTGCAAGTATTACACTATTTTATATAAGAAACTTGAGCTTTGGCAGGTTCTGGTATCCACAGGGGGCCCTGTAAAACAATCTCCTGTGGACACTGAGGGAAACTGTATTAATGTTTGTTCATGCTGACTTTAAAAGTTTTCTCCAAAGAGCAAGTTTTATTTGGCTTCATCAAAATGGTTCTGCAAAGGAGTTAATAATGGCTAATAACATAATTTGCATATTTAGAACACTTTCCACCTTCTAAAAATTTCCACAAATACTATTTCAATAGGTCTCATTTAGTCACCACAAAACCCTGAGGAGAAAGCACAGTTATTATCTTTCTCTCTGTGTTTGTGTGTGTGTGTATGTGTGTGTGTATGTGTGTGTGTGTATGTTACTGTTGTTTTCATGGTACACAGAAGAATCTGAGATCCATAGGAGTCTTGTGAATGACAGTGACAACCAGCATTTGACAGAATCATCACACAAAAAGAAAATTGCCCTCCAATCTAAAATTACTTACAAGCCGTTACACTTGAAAACTCACGTTCCCATTGTATATGGACTCTGAAAGACAGAATACACCCTGCAGCGCTCAGCATCCTGAGACCTCCCAGATTCTCCACCCATAGTACCTCATTCCCGCCTGAGACACAAACAACCTCTCTTCTGTTCCCAATAAAAGATCAAAAAGCAGCTGTCATTTCTTCCATTCTAAAGAGCCAAAGCCCCTGTATTATGCCTTTTAAGAGTATCTGGGCTTTCCAACTTTGTTATAAACCTGCAGGAGGTGTCTTCATTTTGAGTCACATATTTAGGACATTAGTTACCAAGTGGAAGAAATTTGAGGGCATGAAGTAGGCTTCACTCCCACTCACAACTTCCTCTGCCCTGTTTCCCTCTAGTGATTAACAAAAGCCTTTGAGCTTATCTTCAGGGTCACTAGTGGAAAGAGGAGCTGGAACTAATGCACCCTGCTGCATATCCCTGAACAGAACATCAAGGATAAGAAATGACAGATAAAACAAGTAGAGAAAGCCCACAGAATCTCTAGGAGATGATATGACCATGAAAGAGAGAGAGAGAGAGAAGGAAAGAAATCAATCAATCAATCAAGAAAGCAGCTATGGTCTGAGAATGATGTCCCTAACCCCATCACAGCCTGACCTTATAGGCTCACACCCTGTGGTTCTGAAAATCCACCTCAAGTGCAGAAGGGAGTACTATTCTTAGGCCTGAGTGGGTAAAGCTGTCCTTACCTCGTAATGGGCCACGCGCTGAGATTCGGATATCAGTTGTGCACTGCACACCTTGCAGTAACTGTCTGTAAATAAATCCTGATCGATATCGGAGGACTTCATCAGGCTAAAGGAAATCAATAGAAAAGAGAAGAAAAGTGAGTTCACTGCTTTGATGTTGATGCAGGACATTCTACATGTGTAGTATGGGTTTCTCCACACCTTGAAGTTACCTTATGGACTAACTATAATAAGAGTACAGTTTATACTCGTTTCATAAATTCCCAATAGGGTTGCTGGTACCTTAAAAAATAATAATCTAGTTTTAGTTTTCCTGTTCAAACACACTGGAAATGTATTTAATGCTTAGTCAAGGATTTATGTGAGAGGATATTTATACATGTGAGGTATATTAAGAAAATATTATAAATCATCCAACATAAGCAACAACAACAGGAAATAGCTCAAAGGAATTTTGTTATATCCATACACTAAAACAAGATATGACTCCCAAATCCAAATTCAAGTCAAATCCCTCTTTAAGATAATATGAACTAATATAGAAAAAGGTTTATCATAAATAACAAAAAAGATTTACAATAAGTATGAACAGCATTATACTGAATTTATTTTTAAATATAGGAGCATGAAAAACATTCTAAGAAGTTCTAACAAAATTTTAATATTAGTTATATTTCAGAGATTATAGATAAATATGCTTTTGAAATTGTCTTTATTTTAAACATTTCTACAATGCACACTTCTTGCTTTTTAGTTAAGAAACACTTTGTTTCTTAGTCAACACCTTTATAAGTAACACAATATTTAATTTTGAGTTCAATAACTGCATTTATGAAAATAAAAATTACAGACTAAACTATACCTTTCCTTGCAGCTTCATACCTTGTTACGTTAGGAAACTGATTCATTCTGACTTACATATTTAGGGGTGTTGAATGCTATCAAAGCCACCTTTACTAGTAATCCATACCACAACTGAACCCACATGGGTAAATAAACATATCCTCCAATTACAATCAAAATGCAGCCAAGGATCCCATGCTTGTGAAAGTGATCTGTCAGAACTGTCTTATAGCAGTGAAGGGTCATATTACCACACAGAAACATACATCAGTGCATCAGAGTGGCCACAAACTCCACCTCATTTCACCTCCTATCTGCCAGGCAAAAATTAAGGTCTGTGCCAGGCAGCATCTTGTATAGAGAGGCAAGAGAACCCTAGACAGCAGTAATGTGGCAAGCACACTGGCATTCTCATTCCAGTGCTTTGTCACACCTATAGGACTGTCCAAGATTGCATTGCTGGCTACTGGAATGGGAGGAAACGCTGCCTCTCTTGCATGATTCCACTTTCCATATATCAACTTCATTCCAGGTCTAATGCTACCAGGTGATGTTTCGTGAGTCACTCAACTGTCCATGCCTCAGTTTTCCAACACAAAAATCAAGATAATAATAGTTTCCATGCCTCCTTAGAAATTGCAGTGAAGATCAAAGACAGAAATATATAAGAAGGCACTATATAAATTCTAAAATTCTCTGCATTTGTAAGAAATCATTATCACATTTTTTAATGACAATCGTATTGGTAAAATATTGATGAAGACCTAAGCAATGCAACCCAATGAAGAACTGTGGTCCAGTTAAAGTGATTTTTAAAACCCTCTAAATAGCTAAGCCATGTAAGTTCAGTATCTATCTGCAATAAAAGGCTGTTTTCCTCAACAACTGAAAACTCTCTTTCTTTCTATGACTTCATTATAATGCTCCATGCATAGGATTTTTGTTTTCCAAAAGTCAAAAAGATTTAGTTTCTGCTCCTTAAAGACAATAGTAAGTACTTCTGTTTTTTCAATACTCAGAGCAACCAATAATCATGCCAGATACTTAGAACCACTGAGTCTCACAGCTAATGTGGGCCTGTTATTTCTGGAAGCATCATTGTTGGCAGATGGCTCAGCTGGCCTAGAGTCCAGCACCTGCCATGCCTGAGGGTCACTACTCCCTCACAAGGCAACCTGTTCCAGAGAGGCTGGAAGTTCTAGCTGTTAGGCTTTTTTTGGTTAAGTCAAAATATTTTCCACTGTAGCTTTCATGAATTCATCTTAGATTCATCACAGAATGATTCTATTCTCCCTTTTTCATGAGACATCTTCTCTCAAGTTTTCGAAGATGACTCTCTTCTATCTATTCCCAAATCCTGCTCTGTTTCATCATCTTGGTCTCTATTTCTCCATGGCTCATCTTCAAAAGCAGTATCTAGAAGACTCCAGAGAGGGCCTACCTGGGGCAGAAGAGCACAGATCCAAATGACTGGCGAAACATCAATTGTCATTTGTTATGGTCTCTATTCACAGACCAGAATGAAAATGGAGAAGAGGAGTTTTGATGATGGGAAAATATAGTACAACATTTTGAAATGTCAAGTGGGAAAAGAAAACTTAGTAAGGTGTATTTTTAAAACCAAGTTTCTATAAGTGGTTGTGTTTAAATATGATCATGTTCCCTGCTACTTCTAATAAAGAGGAGCACAAAGATAAATTCATGGGTGACCTGGTTAATAGGAATCTCCAAACTCCCTGTACACTCCTTCCTCATTATACAACCAACTGCAGAAATCAAACACTGTGAAAGGATATTCAAGGTACGCAATGGGCCGAGTGAGGCCCGTAGGAGTCTGTGTCTCGGTAAAGCAGCTGTGCTGCAGAAATAGCTTTAAAGGCAGAATATAAAATGTGTATACTAAAAAAAAAAAAAAAAAAAAAAGAAAAGAAAATGCAAAGGCAGAGAAAAATATCATGGCTTTTTCCCCAGTTTTATATAAGAATATTGATTTGAACAAGTCTATATGTAATAAAAAAAGGCAATAAAGGCCCTTCTGAAACCTGAGACATGAATGAAATACTTGAGTAAGTTGAATTCTAGTGGGAGGCAATTAGTGGACAAGTGTCAGCCTGTTTTGTGCGTGAGACCTTCCTCCAGGAAGAGAACTCTCTGCATGTAGGTCGTTTTAGACAACCAGAGTCCGATTTATGACTCAAAGCCTGGAGTTCTCCAGGGAAGGTTGCCACTGGCTCCCCTCCTGTGGTTTGTTTGGAATAGGATTCTCAACCTCTCTGGTCTTCAACATAGGAAAATTGGTAAGAAAAAGGAAGGCAAAACACGCAGTGCTTCTGTCCATGGTCCTGACGAGTCCATGTCTTCACCAGCAGCTGGTCAGTCTACACTGTTCCATCACGACCAATGTGTGGTAACATTCACCTTGGGAACATGCTTACTGTGTAATGCCATAAGGTCTTGGGACATGCACATGGAGACAAGAGTAGCAAAAGGAAGGAGTCTAATTTCCTGAGTCTGAACTTGATATGCAAAAAATGCTTCCTCATTGTTGTCCAAATCCAGAACATTCCAAAAGTGCATTCAAAAAGCAACCGTGGATGGGCTGGGGATATACCTCAGTTGGTAGAGTGCTTGTCTTGCATGCACAAGGCCCTGAATTCAATCCCCAGCACCACAAAAAAAAAAAGCAACCGTGGAGGACTTAAGTAACCTCTATGGTGCTCTTCAGAATTCACAGAGGACAGTGCCACCTGTAATTTAGTTAGGAGGTCCAGAACAGAGTGGAGACTGTATTAGAGTCTGATCAGATTCTCTTTTTCTGTCCCAGGGGTTTATACTTCAATAGATCCATTTATGTGAGTAGCATGACAGTGTAAAAGTCAAATGTGCACCTAGATACAATAAATAAAGGAAATATAGAGGGTAAGAACTATTTATTCCATAATGGTTACTAAGAATCTATTATGATTAAGGTACAGGGATAATAGAAGGCACAGCTGGACTCCAACTTTTCATGGGCTTGTAAATCACACACACACACACACACACACACGCACACACACACAGTGTTTTAGTAAGATACAGTGTTTTAGTCAGCTTTTCATTGCTGTGACTAAAGGACCCAGACAGAACAACTGTAGAGGAGGAACAGATTATATTTAAGGGCTCATGGTTTCAGAGGTCTCAATCCATAGACAGCAGGCTCTGTTTTGGGGGGCTTGAGGTGAGGCAGAACATCATGGCAGAATAGTGTGGTGAAGGGAAGCAGCTCACATGATGATAAGAAAACAGAGACTTCACTCTCCAGATACAAAATACATACCCCATACTCCCACCCCATGAACCATTTCCTCCAGCTACACCCCACCTGCCTCCAATACCACGCAGTTAATCCCACCAGGGATTAATTCACTGATTAGATTAAGACTATAATCCAATCATTTCTCCTCCAAACCTTCTTCCATTGTATCACAAGTGAGCTTTTGGGGGACACCACACCTAAACCATAACAGCTAGTGTAATTTAACAGGTGAAAAGTGCTAGAAAATTGGAGAAGGAAGGGATTATTAAGGACTCTTCCTGTCTGTTGTATAAGAGTTGAAAATTTGAGGATAGGTAAGATTAGAAGGGAGGGGAATGGGTTTCAACTCAGAAGCTAATTCTCTTCCGTGGCACAGAAAAAAAAAATCTTACTACCAGTAAGCATAAGAAGCCATACAAGAAGGGCAGTGGGAGAGCTAGTTTGGGATAAAATACAACCTAAGGGGGAGAGAGAATGAAAAAAATCACAAGACCAATATGGAGGAAGGAGAGACTAGGGGAGAAGAGCCAGATCCTAAATGATTCTAATACATAACCAATGGCCTTTTTCAGGGTTCTCACTTTCCTCTTAGCTCCTCAAGAGAAACCTGGGGCTTGATCGAAAAGAGTAATGTTCTCCATTCTTTTCCATTTCTGGTGTGAAAATAACTTTGAACCAGAGAATCTCAAAACCCATGCAGGGCTCTTCAGAGGACAAACACATTAATTCCCATCCAGGTCTGGTTGCTTACCAACTAGGTGGTTCAGCAAATCCCATTCCCTCTCTGAGTTTTGGTTTCCTGGTTTGTGAAATGGGTTAAAAGTCCTCACAAGGTTATTGTGAGGATTAGAAATGATGTATGTGAAGCATCAAACAGACGGTGGCATATGGCAGATACTCAAGAAGCCAATATTACAACCATTCCACCATTATTAGTAATATTATTAATTTCACTTTATCATTCT